AAACATTGCCCAATAAAATGTCACATTGTTGCACTTGTGTCCTTTACTTTACATATTGTCGGTAATTCTACCAACTTTATTACAAAACATGACCTTGACTGGTACACAAGAAGCAAACAAGGGACTTTGGCTGGCACACATTTTTATACTCACCTCACAATTTCTTTGTTTCAAAATGTGTTTCTTTTCTGTTGTTTTCAGTACCACAACTCCTTTACCTGCTCATCTTTTGCTTTTCTACATTTTTTTGTTCAGTTTTTGATTTTGATTTTTTAATTTTAACTATGGTTTGATTCTATGAAGTTGTGTCTCTGAGAGCTCCTGTTGAGTGACCATACAAGAGATGGGTTGTACTTGGTTTACTGCACACTTAATGATGCAGTTTACGATTGGTCAAGTTGCAGCAACTTGCTAGAAATGTCTTCAATCCATTTGTTTTGCTAGTTACACTATCATCTAAATTTCTGGGAGTGTAATATTACAAACCATGGAAATCACTGATGGGTTAACATAGGCTTAGGCTTAAACTCTAGGTGCAGCATTACCCACAAGAAGTGTAAGAGTCATTTGCAGCCTTTAAACCTTGAGCATTCCAATATTAATAGATAAGATGGTTCTTGTTGGTACAGTAGGGCCCACTTATACAGCAGGTTAGGTTCCAGGCTATCGCTGGAAAGCAGAACGCCATTTTTCCCATTTATAAATGCATATAAATGCCAGACAACAAGTTTACACTAAATTATATTAAGTTAGTAATAAAGTAGCCATTAAAAAACACAAAAAGTAAAATACATACACAGTACACTCATTACTTATCTTAAAGTATTTGTAATCTTAATGTTGGGCGAGAGGTGAGTAGTACTTATTTGTAGGAAGTCAGGTGTAGGTAGCCCTGGCTCCCCATCTCATACTTAATATACGATATTTAAAACAGCCCAGAGAGCTAAGATATACAGTACACTCATTATTTACCTTAAAATATGTGTAGTCTAATGTAGGAAGAGAGGGAGTAGTATTTATTTGTAGGAAGTCAGTGCAGGTAGTCGGTAGGTGTAGCCCGCCTGGGCTACACCTACCGACTACCTACTCACACATAATCTACTACCTACTCACACATAATCACTGTTTTTGCAGAGGTGCTCAGAATACAACAGTTTAGAAGCATATACGTACAAAGATACACAACATATCCCTCCAAACTGCCAATATCCCAAACCCCTCCTTTAAAGTGCAGGCATTGTACTTCCCATTTCCAGGACTATATGAAAATAACCGGTTTCCCTGAATCCCTTCACTAAATATTACCCTGTTCACATTCCAACAGATCGTCAGGTCCCAAGTACCATTCGTCTCCATTCACTCCTATCTAACACGCTCACGCACGCTTGCTGGAAGTCCAAGCCCCTTGCCACAAAACCACCTTTACCCCCTCTCTCCAACCTTTCGAGGACGACCCCTACCTCGCCTTCCTTCCCCTATAGATTTATATGCTTTCCATGTCATTCTACTTTGATCCATTCTCTCTAAATGACCAAACCACCTCAACAACCCTCTTCTGCCCTCTGACTAATACTTTTATTAACTCCACACCTTTTCCTAATTTCCACACTCCAATTTTCTGCATAATATTTACACCACACATTGCCCTTAGACAGGACATCTCCACTGCCTCCAAACTGTCTCCTCGCTGCTGCATTTACCACCAAGCTTCACACCCATATAAGAGTGTTGGTACTACTATACTTTCATACATTCCCTTCTTTGCCTCCATAGATAACGTTTTTTGACTCCACATATACCTCAATGCACCACTCACCTTTTTTCCCTCATCAATTCTATGATTAACCTCATCCTTCATAAATCCATCCGCCGACATGTCAACTCCCAAGTATCTGAAAATATTTACTTCTTCCATACTCCTCCTTCCCAATTTGATATCCAATTTTCTTTATCTAAATCATTTGATACCCTCATCACCTTACTCTTTCTATGCTCACTTTCAACTTTCTACTTTACATACATTCCCAAATTCATCCACTAACCTTTGCAATTTTTCTTTACAATCTCCCGTAAGCACAGTATCATCAGCAAAAAGTAACTCTGTCAATTCCCATTTTGAATTTGATTCCCCATAATTTAATCCCACCCCTCTCCCGAACACCCTAGCATTTACTTCTTTTACAACCCCATCTTATAAATATATGAAAACAACCATGGTGACATTACACATCCTGTCTAAGACCATACTTTTACTGGGAAGTAGTCTCCCTCTTTTACACTCCCTACCTGAGCCTCACTATCCTATAAAAACTTTTACAGACATTTAGTAACTTACCACCTATTCCATATACTTGCAACATCTGCCACTTCGCTCCTCTATCCACTTATCATTATGCCTTTTCTAAATCCATAAATGCAATAAAAATTCCCTACCTTATCTAATATGTTTCACATTATATGCTTTCAATGTAAACACTTGATCTACACATCCCCTACCCCACTCCTGAAAACCTCCTTGATCATCATGCAATACTACATTACTGTCTTACTCTTATTCTTTCAATTAAACCTACCATACACTTTTCCTGGTATACTCAATAACACTTATTTCCTCTATATTTTTTACAATCTCTTTGATCCCCTTTCCCTTTATTATAAAGGGACTATACATGCTCTCCTCCGCCAATCCCATACGTACCTTCCCCTCTTTCATACATTTATTAAAACAAAAGTACCAAACACTCCAACATATATCCCCCCCTGCTTTTAACATTTCTGTCATGATCCCAATCAGTAGCAGCTGCTTTTACCCTACATTCTACGTAAATGCCTCACGTACTCCACCACACTTACATTCTGCTCTTCTTCACTATAAAAGATGGTATACCTTTTCCCCTGACCAGTGCATAATTTACACCTCCCTTTCTTCCTCAACATTTAAAGTTCCTCAATATTCTCGCCAATCTACCTAAATACCTCCTCCTCCCCATCTAATGACTCCCTACTCTGTTTTTAACTGACAAATCCCTACTTTCCCTAGGGCTTTCTTAACTTGTTTTAACTCACTCCAAAATTTTTTTCTTATTTTCATTAAAATTTTCTTGACAGTGCCTCTCACTCCACTCTATCATTCTGCTTCCTTTTGCACTCTCTCACACTCTCTTACCCTTTCTTTTACTTGTCCATATACTCTGCTTTCTTTATAACACTTCTGCTTTGTAAAACCTTCATAAGCTAACTTTTTCTCTTTTATAACACCCTTTATTCATCATTCACAATCATCCTCTTTCCACCTGCTCTCCACCTCCTTAACCACAAACTTTCTGCCCCACATTCTAATACTGCATTTTAAAAACATTCCAACCTCTTCACCCCCCAACTACTCAACCTTGCACTAGCCCTCCTTTCTGCCAACAGTCGCTTTTATCTCCCCCGAACTTCCTCCTCCTTAGTTTATACACTTTCACCTCCCTCTTACTTGTTGTTTGCCACCTTCCTCTTTTCCCATCTACCTCTTATTAACTGTAGCTACAAACTAAATAATGATCCGACTATATCCAGTTGCCCTCTATAAACATGTACATCCTGGAGCCTACCCGATCAACCTTTTTATCCACCAATACTTAATTAACAAACTACTTTTTATTAGTGCACTTCATACCTTGTATATTTATTTATCCTCTTTTTCATTAAAAATATGTAGTACTTATTCCAAATCTCTTTCTTACACATAGCTCAATTAAAGGCTCCCATTACATTTACCCCTGCATCCCCATATTTAATACTACTCCCTCCATAACATTTTTACCACTTTAGCATTGTAAATCCCCAACCACATTACTCTCACACTTGATTCATAACTCCCCACGCCATTCACTCAACATTTCCCAAAATCTCTCTCCTCTACATTCTTCTTCTCCAGGTGCATACACACTTACTATTAACCCTCTTTTCTCACATCCAATCTTTATTTTTACTCCACATAATCCTTGAATTAATACATTTATAGTCTCTCTTTTCCTGCATAGCTTATCCTTCAACATTATCGCTACTCCTTCTTAGCTCTACTCTGTTTGAAACC